GCACAAAGCATTCCTCACGTTAGTGTAAAAAAACTGAGGGTGTCACAACACCCGAGAGTGACAGCCGCGTCTCAGCCCTGGCGGCGGCCCATCTGCTTGCCCTGTGCCAGGGGTCTGTCAGTGCCACCGCTTCGAAAAGCCAAGGCTCACGGCTTGATAAACCCATGAATTAGGTCGAAATTAACTGTGGCTCATTTTAAACTGAGGACGCTGATGTGTGCCGCTACGAGGCCGGGCTGAGGGCACCACGCGCAGACCAGCATCCTGGCGGCCCCAGAGGACGCGCCGGGCAGGCTCTGTGCCTAGCAGCAGCCCAGGCCACTTCTGGAAAAGTACAAATCCCCGAACATTCAAACCAAAATGGGGTGCGCTCTCCTTTAGTTTCCACAACTAAAGCTAAAAAGAGTGAGGAAAAAGTCAACGTACTACCTCTGCTTTAGTACATTTTTATGCTGTCAATTATCTGCATTGGACTTGTCAAAAATTCTCAACTCCACGCTCGCTTTTGTGCATGCCAGCCATTTCACATATCAGTTGCTCAAAAATGCAAATTCACTTTAATATTTGCCTTAGCAAAATTTAATTAGACAGTAAACGCGTGTTTTGTTTTTTTTTTAAAGACTAAATAAATACATAGCAAAGGCAAAGAGGTTATTTTTGGGATTGCCTGCTCCTGGGGTTATTAGAACGCTCCTGTGTGAATAGTACAAGGCCAGCTCCCCCTGCCCTGACCCCAGGATCAAGCAAAGACAGTCAGTACAAAGATGGCTGTCTCCTCTAAGGAGCAGCAGACCAAAATACAGCAAGGAAGTGTTCCCATGACTTTCTGTTTGTTTGTTTCAGGACGTTAGTTGCTGTTAGGATCTGCTTCCTGGATCCCAGATATCAAAGCAATTTATTAAGCATACCATTAACTTCATTTCATGTCTATAAAGAAAACATTCTTGAAAAGAATACAAATTAAAACAAAATCCATAATCAGATGTTCTCCAAACCTGGGCTCCTCATGCCTAGGGAACTGCTCTCCAGAGTGGCTTTTCACGCCGTCCCTGTAACCCTCTGTCCCCTCACTCCTATCCCTGCTCCCTGTGCTGCCGTTCTTTCCCATCCTAAAGCCTCCACCCATCAGGCCCCAGGACAAACAAGCTGTTAATGAACTAAACAGCGGCCAGAGATTGAGCTGCATGCAGGAAGGAGAGATGCCAAGCCGAACCAGGAAGTTGTTCAAGGTCACATCCCTTATCGAGCCAACCCAACAGGCCAAGCAACTGTTCACCTACTTAGAAGCCAGCCTGAAACAGCAAATACTTTGCCTTCTCATCTTTTGGAAGTGTACAGGTCAAACGTCCTAACTTCAGAACCAATCACCCAATTCTTTCCCAGGCAAGTGTATCGTGCAAGGATCTACTCCAAAGAGATCTAAAGCAAAACAGTATGCAACCCCCAAAGAAGCCTCTTTGTCCCAGGGCCTTGTGCTGTAACAGACACTTGAATTTCAGTCTCAAATCAGGACACTGAATACTCCCTGGCCTCTAAAAGGCAGGGATTATAAAGAGAGAGTTCATCAGAAGGAAAATAAACCTGTAAATCCTGTTAGGCTTTGCGCTTCATTCCGAAGGATTTTTCCCTGAAATAATACAGTAGCAATACCACGAGAGCCCGAAAAGAGAGGGTGCTGTACACCAGGGTCCCAGCTCCTCGTTCAGAACGGCCCCAGCGTGGCCCCGGGGCCAGGGCTCCGCCAGCCCCCATCCTCACCACCCAGCGGGCCCACCCGCTTGCACTCTCCATTCGGCTCCCCCCCCAAGCTCCTCTGCTAGATCTTGGATGTGCTTCCTCCAGGCCCACCTTCTTCCAGGAGAGCAGTGGGCCCACGAAATCCCTGAAGGGACCCCGAAGTGCCAGGACAGAGGACAGGAAGACTTGATCCACGCCCTCCAGCAGCAAACAAGGAGAGGAGGCGTGGAACAAGCATAATGCAAGGCAAGAAATGTTGTATCTGAGCTCCAAGAACGCACCCCCCACAGAGCCTTGGCACCCTAGAAGGTACCCCTTGGATGCTGAACGGAAGAGGGGAAGACCATCTCAGGCGGAGGAAAAGGCAAGCATGAGGGTGTGCCATTATGGGACGGATACAAGTTCAGAAAGAAATTCAGTGTGGCAAGAATTACGGCATTGCCTTTCCTGGACTTGGCCCTTTAAAGAAGGGGCTCAAACCCACAGGTCTGTGGAGCCAGAGAAAAAGAAGTGACTCCAGCACAGGGCTCCTTCTCAGATGGAGGACATCCCTGCATCTCTCCCTGAAGCTGGTGGCCTTAACACCACTCCTAAGGCTTCTGCGTTCAGGCAGCTTCTGCTTCCGGTCTTACTCTGTGCCTCTTCAACTCGCTCAGAGGTCAGAGGGCAAGAAGCTGCAGCAGACTGCAGCCCACCCACCCCTTCTTACCCCTTCCCCTGCCCTCCCAGATCATACAGCCCGCTAAGATCCCACCGGAGAGTTGGGAAGGGTTCCCTGTATCCACAGGTACCGGTTCCTGTTTGGTAGACACCTGTCTGTATTTGCACCTGCTTTATCTCCTCCTTAAATTGTAAGTTTTCTGAAAGCAGGGATGAAATATCTCCCAGCCCCATCTGCACCCCTATATCTATAGAGAACCACACTCTTTCAAGCAATGCTATGGAAAAACACTGAAATTCCATAGGTTTAAAAGTTAAAGGGAGGGAGTATAAAGTGGAAATTGGCTTAGGGCCAGAAGCAGGATGGCCATGTAATTTATAGGCCACATCCAGACACATATAAGAGTAAAGGCAGCACTTTCATCACCAGCAGGGACAACTTATACACCAGGTCTGTCCCAGGGAAAACAGGCAAATGGTCACCCTTGCTAGAAATGGCATTCCAAGTAGATGTGAACGCCCAGAGCTCCACGGAGGCAGGCCGAGCCCCTCCAGTCACTGGGGCCGTGCATGCAGGAAGCTCTTCGGTCCAACGCAGGTCCTTAAGGATGCAAATTAATCCCACTTTTATGAACCTCAAGGCAACAGAGAAAATGGCATAGGAAGGCAGCCTCAGAGGGGGGAAAAAACCACCTGTGTCCTCACTTTTGGTAGAAATTCTTCATTATTTGTTGGACTGCCAATTCTCCATCCTTCAACTGAACCAAACTCAATCTGGCTGGAACATAAAAGTTGAGGGTTTTGAAGTTCCCAAGTTCTCCCAAGGAGAACACAGTTTTCCTTCAACTTGCCCCAAGGAGCTTTCAGAAACCAAACCGAAGGAAGCCATGGCCCCTGTGTGCACTGAGAGACCAGGACGCTCTGCCCTGAGCCCTGGACGGACTGCCCCCACCCCGCCCCTCCCCGCCCCGCTCCGCTCAGAGCCCCTGAGCGCTGACTCAAGGCCACAGCCGAGCTGGGCTGACTGCGAAGCCTCGGTGAACCAGGAGCCTCTCTTCCTCTCTCCCCCTCCCCTGTCGGCTGGCATCTCTTTGGAGGGCACAGACCTTGCTGACTTCAACAATACACACAGGCACAGAAAAGTTTCAGATGGGATGGGGAGGGGAACAAGGACCTGAAAGGTCTGTATCAGGAAACGGAGCAGGCAGGCCCCAGCAGCCCAGCCCATTGGGAGGCACTGGTCCCCAGGGGCTGACAGCGGATGGGAGACAAATGCTTCTACCAACTCACCATCCTTCCCCGCTTTATAGCCATAAATACACACACACGTACGTATGTTAAACGGAGGTATTTAAGAAGCACTGCAAAAGGACAGGGCAACTGTTTGACCACCCAAAGGTCACTGAGACAACGGAGACAAGGTGTTAAAGAGCAGCCAACCCTGCCTCGCGTGCCCTGGGGCTAGTCATTCCACCTCGCTCAGCTTTGGTTTGTCATCAATAAAATGACGCAACAGGGTTAACCAATGTCACCACAATAGATGTAAAAACAAAATTTTTAATGACACAATAGGGTAAGATGGTTTATAAGGTTCTTTCTGGCTTTGAAGGTTGAATGTTTAATTTTATATATTTCCTGAAGAAAAAGCTAAAGAAATATCAGTGAAGAAAGCCAAAACTTTTAATGTCTAATCTTTTCATTTCTATTTTAACAGGGGACATTTTGACGGTAGAAACTGTGCATTTCACGACCTCCGCCAGCTCCACTTTTTCTGCCCTGCCGGCCTCCTAGTCCCGCTGATGTCAGTCGGGCCTGGGGCTCTCATCGAACAATAACACAACCTAATTAATTTTGCCAGTGCTGACACTAACCCACAAACTCGGTTTGCAATTTCTAGCAGTGAGATTGGCCATAAAAGTGAAATTCATGTTACTCATGACCCAATAAACCACTGCCTGAATAGAAATATATCACTGAAAAATGCCCAACAAAGTCTTGCAGTCTTTCATATCATGACGGATATCCCTATCCAAAATAAAGTCAGTATCTTGAAGGGGAAGTGGAATGGAGAAGAACCTTACACACAGACACACACACACACACACACGCATGCACGCACGCACGCACACACACACACACACACACTGCTCCTGATTCTATCTGGATGTCAACGTTTCCAGTGTGCTCACCTAACTGTGGTCAAAAATGGTGTGTGGCCCCCTCCTCTTACTGTCGTGGGTCCACTGCAGGGTGCTCGCCTCCACCGCCCACTGAAGATAGACTAAGGCAGGCCCATTCTTCATCCCATGTGAAATGAAGCGGCGCCCCTCCCGTACTTACCGTAAACTACACGGGTCAGCACTCACCCTGGGGAAATTGGCACTGCACCCCGCGAGTTACCTGGAATACGTTTGCTACAACCGACAGGAAAAAGGAAAGATGAATGCAATTCAACTGCTGACGGTTGAACTCATGTGGGGGAAAGAAAACAAATGCAAGCCAGTAAGTCCCCAACGGTGCCTGCACCTGGAGGCTACTGCGAAGGATGGATGCGCAGGCAGGGGAAAGGGAAAGGGCTGCAAGGCGGGTTGCAAAGTGCTCACCTGTCCGTACACCTTGATGGGCTCGGGCTGCAGAGCCACGCTCCGTCTGCTTCGGAGCGGCTTCTCGCCCGCCCCCCGGTTGTCCCCGCGCGCCCACAGCGGCCGCTCGCGCAGGTCGCCCTGCACCACGCGGAAGCCCCGGTCCTGGGGCAAGGGCGCGTGGCCGCCGTGCAGCGTCTGCGTCCGGACCTCGCCGAGAGCCCCGGGCGGCAGCAGCGCGACCAGGGTGAATAGGAAGGGGAGTCGCGGCTCCCTCCTGCTGCTCCGCGTCGCCATGTTCGAGCTAAGGCTACGGCAGGTGGCGCCGCCGCCAGGAGAGAATGCGCAGCGCGAGGCCAGAGAGCCGCGGGGCCGGGCCGCGCGCGCCGCTCCCGGGGCTTCCAGGCTCTGCGCCCCTCCCGGCCGCCCTGCTGCGCCCGCTGCCGCCACCGCCGCCGCCCCCGGCCCGCTCCGCTTGGCGCGCCGCCGTCACGTGGGCGGCCCGCAGCCGCGTCTCCTTCGCGCACTTTCTCTGCTCGGCTGCCTCGGCAGCGGGTCCGGCCCCTCCCCTGCGGAGGGATGGGGAAGTCAAGTCACGGGGCGCTCGCGAGGGTACGTCCCCTCCCCGCCGCTGACACACCTAGCCGAACACCCTGCGTCAGTCAAGAGTTGTGCTGGGTACGCTAGTCGCCTGTGGGTTTATTTGCCACCTAGGGCAGGTCGTGCCGAGGTCGTCCTAAACCTTGACAGTCTCTTTCCCCTGTCCCACCTAGCGACCACCGCCACCGCCCCCTGCCACAGCCCCACACTAAGGGAGAGCCAGGCCAAGGAAAATTAGCTCTGAGAACACAGAGTGCACATTAGAGGCCAGGCGAAGCTGCCCCCCTTGTGAAACTCAGAGTGTGAACTACTCTGGGCACCACAACGTACCAGAAGAGGCCGCAGGCACACACAGGGCCTCAGCCCAGTGGCCGCTAGGGATCCCTCCAGGGTGGGCAAGCGCATGGCCACTGCACCTCCGCAGCAGATGAGCCCAACGTATGCCAGTACCTTCGGCCACAGCCACCAGCACCGAAAGCCCTGTACCCGGGGGTGTAAAGCTTGCGTCCGGAGGGAGGAGGGGGCAGACGCCCAAGGAGTGGAGAGGACACACCTGAACCCTAAATTCTATTGGAAGAGCCAGACTCTCTGAACCACGGGAGCTAGCACTTCGCTTGGAGCTGCCGAGGCACAGCGAACGTAGTACTTTTTGTGGGTGCGTGGGAGCAGCTCTGTGGCCTCCTCTGTTTAGTGTTATGCTTCCTGTGCTCTGGACCTGCTCCTGGGTTTTGAAAAAACTGAAGACAAATGGAGCAAGGCTGTCGGAGAGAGGACTTCTGTAGGTGCATCCAAGCCCTTGGTTTAGAGGAAGGGGGACATGGCCAGCTCCGTTCTGCCCGAATGCCCCCCATACTCAATAAGCCCCACTAGCTTGATTCCTGCCTCTTCTCTCTCCCCGGGTCAGCTGAGCAGAACTGCCTTCCCTACCTAGCACCACCAGGGACCACCTGCCAAAGGACGGACAGCCTTTCCTGACCCCCCTGCATCCAGCCTCCTACCACTTTCCCTGCCCCCGTGCCAGGCGTGCTGGGGACCTGGCCTCAGGTCCTGGCGTCCCATCTCCTCCTTCCCCTGGTTTTCTTCCCCTGAAGAAAATCAGAGTCCCCAGTTTTTCTGTCCATCTGAACATAATCTCAGAACCACCCAATTCTCCCCTCCAGGAAAACTGCTTATCCTCTGGGAAAGCTGCTGAACTGAGAAAGGATGGTGGGAAGGTGGGAGAATTCCTTGGCAGGTGGAATAGGGAAATTGAGACAGAGAGCTGAGCACAATGGCGGAGCCATTTACAGCCAGACGCAGATGGTCCCCCGGAGGGAGAGGCTCCAGTGCCCTGCAGGGGGCAAACCTGGGAAAACAGGAACCTCATCCCCAGGGTAACCTCGCCTCCCCTGCCCTTCCTCCCTGGAGACAACATCCAGGCCTCAGCTGTGTTTCCGCTCCAGGCCCAGAAAAGCAGCAAAACCAGGTGGGCAACCCCAGGACCAGCTGCAATGACTGAAGGCCCCCGGCCCTGTCACTGACCAATCAGGGGAGACCGCGACCCTGAAAGGGCACCGGGAGCACTGATGCTCCCTCTGCTGAGCCCTCCCCTGGGACCGCCCCTAAGGGGCCCCTGGGAGAAAAGCCTCAAGACAGAGGACCCAGCACACTCAAGCACACTCTCCCTTTGTGGAGTGGCCCCTGCCATTCCCTTATTCCCCCACTTCTTTCTGAACAGGCATGAGTCTCCTGAACTCTAAGCAATGGGCAGTGGCAGCTGGTCCCAGGCCAGTCCCCTGCAGCTGTCCCCAAAGCCCCCTTTTCTCTGACTGCCCAGTGAGCCAAGGCAGCCCACCCGGGGCCCCCCTGTTGCTTCTTCTATGCTGAGCCCTTCCTTGCTTCACTGTCCCCGGCTCTAATAAATGTATCCTCAGAGCCACCTGGACTTGTGAAACCTTTCCTACACGAAGTCAAGAACCCACACACTGCAGCTGGCCCCAGGCAGACCCACCCATGGACAGACCCCTGTCTGGTAACAGAACCACTGCCAGCTCCTTCTCCCCATCTAGGCCAGCACTGTGTTGTCATATCACCTTATGTGTGGCCCTCTGAGACCAGCAGCAACAAGCTGGTACCCACCATGTAACCTCAAGGGAAAATGAGAGGAACATGGCCATTGCCAGAAACACCCTGTAACTAATTCAACTATTGTTTTTTTCAATATAGATTTAATGAGAACCTTCTCTAGAAAAGCAAGAGTCCGAGTCCCTGCAGAACTCACGTGTCCCTGAAGTGTGGATTTGGAGACGGGGAGCCACTTGGCCCACCCAGACCGCAGACAGGTTCAGAGGGCAATGTGTGGGGACGGCTTAGGAGGGCAGGACCAGCGCCTTCCTGGTTTTGATGTTGATTTGCAACTTGGATGCTGGAGAAGTGGCAAGAATCCTCAGACATGGTTAACGGACCCCCATCCCCAAGAGTTCTCAGGTGGATAACCTGCAAGTCCCAAGATCTCGGTTGCCTCATATCCCCAGGTGGCCAGGTGGAAAGCACACTGAATTTTGCCTCAGAAGGTCCACTTTCTAACTTTGGGGATTTGGCCAAACAACCTCTCTGAGTTTCAGGGTTTTTCATCTGCAGAATAAGGCTCTTAATCCCTACCTAGCGCACAGAATTACTGAGAATGTCAGATAAGAAAATGCACATAAACGTAAACTACTGTGCAAATTGTGAATGCCCAGTCAGGAATGTGGTATGCAGGTGGCACTGGGGACATGAATTCTAATCATGGCTTTGCAGCCAAGCTGCCATGCGGTGTTTGTCCGGGCTGGCTCTGGGCATTGGTTTCTTCCTGTGGTATGAGAGACCTTGCAGCCCGGATCACTCCCCACCCGCTCCAGGACCCCTTCCCGGGCATGAGGCAGGAGCAGTCACTGAAGAGTCCTCCCAGGACAGGGGACAGGGGACAGGGTTGAATTGTGCAACTGAGCAGGGTGTTCCTCCTAGCTTCAAAACCGGATCTGGGGTGTAAACAAACCTTCACTTCCTCAGAAATGACATCAGGTTGGTGTGGGATGGAGACAGGGAGAAGGCAGTCCAGCGCCCCGTCCACCACCGCCCGCCCTGCCCCCTGCAGTAGAGCCTCCCGCTCCCCCTCCCCCCCTCCCCACCGTGGCCTGCTCCTGTGCTAGCGGACACATGAGGAAGCCCACCTGCATCGGGACTTCACTCTAGACTCACAGCTGTGCATAAAAAGATTGAGCCTGTGGTCGGACTTCAGACTTCCCTCCCCCGTCCTTCTGCCCATCCTGGGCCATTCGGAGCCGGACTGAAGAAGAGCTACGGGAAAACCACCCGAGGCCACAGTGCCCCAAGTCTTCATCCAGGAGAGACACATTTAAAATAACAAGACCAGCCATGAAGGCCAGGGGGAAGAGCCCCAAAAGCCTAACTGGACCTCCTTCTGTTCTCGCTCCTCCAGTGGCCTTCCCGAATGCTGGCACCCGTCTGCTCTCTGTCCCCCAGCCCCTGGCCTGACAACTTCTGTTCATCCTGCAGGTTCCAAGAGGCCTCCTTCTTCACCTAGACTAGCTTACATCCCCTGCCATCTTTGATACTTTCTCATCACATTATCTATTTAGCCTCATCTTCTTCTTGAACTAGAAGCAGCAGGAGGGCAACACCAGGCCTCTCTTACCCTGCGTCTACGTTCCCAGTGCCCAGCATAGCCCTGGCACGTGGTGGGTGCTCAGTGATAGTCGTCAGATGCATGGATGTGGGTGATGGGGTGGGCGCTGCCTTGGGGCGAGGGCTGGGGAGTAGTTAAGGGGCCAATGTCGCTGAATTTCAGAACTTTCCTTACTGTCATCTGCCCAGCTCCTTTCAAAGGTGGACTGTGAGTCATAACCAGACCTCGGAGTCTCTGAAGCAGAAAAGGGACCTTCCAACATCGAAGAGGTGAACTTTATCCCCTCTTCCACATCACTTTAGTCAGGCTGCTCCCATTCATTTCACCAGCTAGGGTAAGATACGAAGGCCATCCTGCCCCAAAGAAATAGTTCTTTCACCCTGACCAAGAGGCTTCCTGGTCAGGGCACAGACCTGGGTTGAGGGTTTGTTCCATCCCCGCTCTGGAGCCCTACGGGAGACACCTGATGGCTGTTCCTCTCTCTCTCCCCTCCTCTCCCTTCCTCCCTCCCCCTCCTCACCTCCTTTTCTGTCTAAATTTAAAGACATAGCCTCGAATGAGGATTTTTTAAAAAGAAAAAAGAAATGGCTTTCTCCTGCTGTTGCCAAAAGTTCCTTTAGTTAAGGCGAAGTCCAGGATAATGTATGAGGTTTAAAATATATATGCACCCAGAATGTAGAATAAGTAATTTATAACCTCACTCTTGAATTCAAAGAGGAGGTTCTGGAAATAGTAGTATGTTTGCATAGCAGTGATTTACATTTGCATAACATTATAACAGCATTATCTACCAGATTTCATCTCACACAAGCCTGTGAAGTGGGCCAAAGCAGACACTATTGGCGCCTCTATTTTACAGATTTGGGGAATTAAGCCATGATTACATGAGTTGCCCCAAGGCACGCAGTTTGGCAAGGGTTAAGTCAAACCCAGGTTCGCTGACTTCTTCCACATCTGCCACCTCCCTCAGGAAGAGAGGAGAGGAGCTGGCATTTCAGGTCCTGGGTGGGGCAGGGCAGCGGCGGGCAGC